AGCCAAGCAATGTATTTTGCTGTTTCAAGAACTCATTTTCACTTTATCACATGCTGCAGAGTAAGCCTCTTCATTACAACTCATTTCAATTGACTGGAATGTTGACCCCACGTATAACCATGACCTAATTATTATGGAAAAATGTAATTGGTAAATGATGTTGATTTATTTCCTGTTACTGCATCACTCCAAAGAGAAGAACTGTTTTGCCTCCAGCTAAAGACAGTCCACTTGGAAAATTTTATGGTTGACACCAAGACATTATTAGACTTTTCCACTTCCCCCTCTCCTCAAAAGAAACAAATACTGGAATGATTTAAAAAAAAAAAAAAATCAAAACAGTTTGGTAGGAAGGGATGGGAACACTGCTGGCAGCTTGTATGACAGAAGCCATACTGTATCACTGGGATTACCAAGTCTGAACAATCTGACTCACACAATCACAGAACATGCTGAGTTGGAAGGGACACACCAAGATCTTCGAGTCCAACTCCTGGCCCTGCACAGGACCACAGGACCATCCCCACACATCATGTGCCTGAGAGTATCATCCAAACACTCCTTGAACTCTGTCAGTTTTGGTGCTGTGACCACTGCCCTGGGGAACCTGTTACAGTGCCCAGCCACCCTCTGGGTGAAGAACCTTTTCCTGATATCCAACCTAAATGTCCCCTGACACAACTTCAGGCCTTCCCTTTGTGTCCTGTCACTGGTCACGACAGAGAAGCCGAAGTGGCAAGGGCAGAACAAGCCAGCTGCCGAGAAAAGCCTGGCTCTGAGCTCTTTTTCCACCCCTGCACCTGCAGTCTGCTCTGGGGGCCTCACACAGACCAGCTTGTTACCCACAGCTGCACAGAAACCCCTGCAGTTTTAACCTGCATCTGAGGTGGGCAGGCTGTTTCCACCATTGGTGACTTCAGGGCAGGAATCCAATCCTCAGCAACTGATTTATTTAAATCTTTATTCCTGGATAGGGGGGGAAGAGTCATCCACTCTCATTTCCTCCAAGAGCACACTATGGCTTTCAGAACATAAATCCTCATAAATTTGAAAATATGACAATCCCTAAGTTAAAACTAATAGCTAATTTTCTATTATTAAGGAACTGCCATTAGAAATTTTAATTATTACTACATGGAATGTCAGCAAATGACATAATAAAATATTTAGACCTGAATTTATGAGTAAAGATTGTTATGGAAAGGCCTTAAATGTTATATGTGCTGAATTTTACTGATACTGAAACTCAAAGAAAATTAAGATATTCTACTGAGCTCTTTTTGGAATTCACATAGTGGAAGTTAATTGAACAGCCCTCATAGGGCCACAGCACATTTGGAAGGGAAAAAAATATGCATTGATTAAAAATGTATTTTTCCATTATAGAAAAAATTGAAAATAAATACACTACAGAAAAAAAGTTATTTTAATTTCTTTGGGGAACAAAGCTATAACGTATAATAATAGCCAAAATCTGACTCTCCTCTATACCTTAGCCTCTTAAATATACAAAATCTTGACTAACCAGTTTCAAAACAAGATCTATGAAGACAGATCACATGACAGACAAGCAAATTATATGTTGGTTGCCTCTTGAGTTTTTAAAGGAATTTCTTTTTAAGAGCATTCACTAACAAAACTGGGGGGAGGGAGAAGCTGCAAACATACAATATTTAAAACTTCTGCGCTTGCAATCTTGAATTGTTTCTAAAAGAAACAGTGGCTGCACAGCCCAGCTCAGTTCCACAGTCTACTGGAAGGGAAAAGAATTTTCCATTTTGGTCGTGATTCTCAGTGAGGTCCCGTCATCTGACTTTTAGTGCATTTTCACAGTCGCAAAAGCAGCTGGCGTAACCAGTTCTGCTCGAGCAGAACTCCTGAAGATAATTGATATAAAAAATTAATCATGCAAACCTCCACTGCAAATGCACTTCCAGCTCCTCCAAGACTACTTGTTCTAAATGCTTTTAAGCTTCAAAGCATTTAACTGGATAAAAACTACGTGAAAGGTCTTGGTAAAACAACTCAACCTGAGCAAACGTCAACATTGATTTTTCATCAGAAGACTAATATTCATGTATATTATCAACATTAAAAGCAGAACAAGCAACAGCTTAGCTGCAGTGATTTTAATACCTACATTGTTAAAATAGAGTATTGGTGCTGTTGCTGTATATACACTTGCTGAACAACAGGACTTGAGAAAAGGCTTGTGTGCTCAAAAACCTGCCTGACTATTCTTTTGGTGCAAGGTCAAAAGGGAAAAAAATGCTTCTTCTCCTTACATTCTGTGCCTGGCTCAGCTGTACATGTACAGTCACCTTCAGTCACAGTTTAACAATATGCAACTGATATTTGAGGGTCTTGAATTTTCATCACTCATTTATTTATTTAGCAAGAAGAAGGTAGGAAGGAAATAAGAACTCGTCTTTCTAAGATCATTTTTTAACTACTTCACAATTCAGTTACTTTTTTTTCCTCTTTTGTACTTCACATAAAAGTACACACCTTAAAACTGTGTTTTTCCTTGGAAATTGCTTTCAATCCCAGATGAGCTTTTTATGGGGAAGGTATAAGAACAATGTGCAATAATAATGTATTTTAAAGATTCCTCCCATTATATAAGTTTTAAAAATATGCACAAAAGCACATCAGTCCTTATCATTCAGAAGACCATTTCAGTTCGCAGTCAACTTTGCTCATCTCATTCTGGAAAAAAAATGATCCTTCATTGATATAAAAAAGGTATGAGAAGATGGAACCACAAACATACCAATGAACCCCCTAGAGGAGCACAGAGCCAAATGAATGGGATAGTCACAGGGTCTAATTAGTGACCTGATACAAAGGGGCTTCTTTGATGTCTGTACAGAAGCAAATGAAGGAGACTTGAGAAAGGATTGCTTGGTGGAACAGTCACCTTAGTTCTTGTGCACAAAGAGCTCATGCCAAGGAAGTAAGATCCAAAGGGTTTCCCCAGATACGTGGTTATCAATTCCAGGCCTCAAGGGTGAAATGGAGCTGCAGCATTGATTCCTCTGGCCTAGGACCCTTTTGTTCAGAAAGGTGAAGGAACTGCTGCTGGCCAACAAGCTTCATTCCAATAGCCCTGTGCTGTCACCTCCTCCACTTAGACACCCACAAGTCCCTTAGGCACAAACCAAAGGGCTAAAATCGTGCCCCTAAACGGGCAAAAAGTCCACAATGCAAGTGCTACTTTGTCATTGTTAAAGTAACTGTGAGGGGTAACCTAGACTGTGCTTTTAGATGTTGGTGAGGCTCAAATTAGTGATTTACAGCACGACTCATGTCTCAGAAAGTCTGCATGTCAAAAATAACTTCAGGAAAGTGCCAAATCAATTAGGAAGGATTAGTTATTGTTGTCCAAGAGGCACTGGAGACGATTGTTTTTCAGACTTGCAGTCTTGCCAGAAACTCAATAATGTTTGGATGCCATTCTTTAACAGCTACTTTTTTTTCTATCACATTTAATACAACCATTCAAAGCTGTAATGCTCTAGAAACACTGAACACTCACTATTTAAGATGGTTTGGGTGTATAGCGAAAATATTCGCAGTACCAGCAACAACTAAAAAATGTTAATAAATTATTTACCCACTTACTAAAGAACAGGTGCTACAATAAAATACACTGCTAAGGGTCAGAGTACTGTGATTATTAAGCCTCTTCAATTCTGCCCTGAAAACTCTTTGGTGAACACTTCACAACTGTTAATTGTATCAAGACAAGCTGTAGGTAAAGTCTGAATGGTTGAGCACAGTGAGAAGTTCAAAAAGCTGCCTGAATTTCACTTAAATGAACAGCCCAACTACAGCTAAGACCACTCACATGACACAAGGATTTCCAGACTACTTGACCCTAAATTAAACAGCACAGTCCTTCAAATCAGCATTTGCATTTCACACACTGCAGCTGGTTTTGAAGTGCTTACTACATGGTCTCTTTCCATGCAACCCTTCCCATTCCCACAGTGGTTTGAACGAGGAAGCGACAACCAAAATACAACAAAAGCCCCAACACACGACATGCCCATATGAAATCCCAAAATCCCATATGGAGTCAGGTAGATTGAAAGAGGCTGTTTTCTTGTCACTGAAAGAACAGCTCATGAGCTGCTGCCCACACAGTTGGATTGCACAAGATTTCCCCCATTGGAAAGGCAGGTCATTCGATTCACTAGCCGAGTGCTTGGGTTCATCTGTACTAGAACCAGTTTCTGAAATGTTGTTTTCAACAATGTTATAATGCCACAGCTTGAGAAGTGATATACAAGGAACCTTTTCAATAAATAATTTCAATACACACTCCATTCTGAGTATATCTTGAAATCCAGTTATTTGGACAAGGAAAAATATTTATTCCACTCACTTACCCTGAACTGTATTGTATTATTCCAGCATTTTAAGTCAGTGACCAAATTTTCATCAAGGCCCACACATGGAAAATTTCAACTCCAAACAGCAAGTACTTCAGAAAACAAATGGGTGAAACAAGCATTCTAACGCAAGTTTCTGGCACTCTACCATGTTCGCTTTATCTTGAATTTATGCACTTTTAATTACCATTTAAGCAAAAATAAGCCAAGGCCAGAAGACCACAATTTCCCTTCAAACAGCCTGTTATAGATGGATCTTTGACACAAAGGCCACAAACCAGTGAATAAGATTTTCAATATATTTTCAAATGAGCTAAGTTTGGTTATTAAAAAAAAAAAATTCACATACTATGAATCTTCACAAGAAATGCTTTATACCCAAGGGGCATGTGTTTTCATGGAGTAGTCAATATAATGATCACATTACTTTCAATGGCACTGTTATAATGAAAGTAAAATTTCAAGTAAGAACCTTCTTTGCTGCTGTCCAATAAATTGTGCACATCTCATCAAACAAACAGGCTGCTCAGTCATATATACAGATCATAAACTTAACTGGCTTCTACATTCACCATTAATCCTAACACAGAATTAAACAAATACCTTTTGCATTTTCTTGGGATCTTTCTGTGAGTTTTCTCTGAGAGGTACTTTTCCAAACAACTTCCATCCCACGTCATTTTGCTTTTCAAATCTTGCACTTGGCTTTCTGGTAAACAAATTCCTAAAAAAAAAAAAAAAAGTTTGATTAAGAAAAAGGGCTCATCAATTATAACAAACAGAAGGAGAGACAATCTGCTGACCTTACGTATCCCAATCAAATATTCCAACTCCTCTTGTGGTTGAGCTGACAGACACTGTTTCTCCTTCTCAAAAGATAAATCATGCAGTATTATCACCCTACCAGGCAATGGACTTTGTTAAATAATAACTTCTAGTAGATGAAAAAAAGTTCATTTTCCAACTTTCTAAGATGGCCTTTTTTAGCCTCCTTCGAGACTATTCAGCCTCACTCCTTTAAAAAGACACTAATACACTAAATCTCTTGCTGCATAAACATTCTCTACCCACCTGCTACGACACACTACTACCAAAAATCACAAAAAATTTGGAGACATAGTAGCTTTTTACTGTATTTGATCTGCTTTCATAAAAGATTATTTTTCCTGAATAAGCTTAAAAGCCGCTATCAAAACACATTAATTCTGAACACATTTCATTAACTCTGAAATGCCTCAACCAGCTTAGACACTGCAGGAACAGTCAAAGCCAGGCACAAAGCCACTGAAAATTGAATTAGTTTTATTGACATTGCTAGTTTTTAATCATAAAGTGATAGGCCAGACTTCCATCTTTACACCACAATACATTTTTCCAAAACTGGACATGCAGTACAGACCAGACCTCATGCACTCAGCTCTTTCAGGAGCACAACAGGTATTTTACATCCACAGCATTTCTACATTATTAAAGTAACAAATTCTCTTTTGCCCTATTGTCTAATTTAGCAATTTAGTATACAAATATATACAGGTTGGCTCTGCTATTTACTCATCTTGTGGTAGGTTTTTCTGGAAACCTGACTACAGATTTTTGCTCCCTCATTTAAAAGAAAAAAAAAAATCCAGAGACAAAAGTATTTTTGCTGCTGCAATCAGCAGGCAGCTCTAGCACCTTCAAACCATGGATGCTTCCAAGCTGCCATTACTGCTTCTCCTACAGTTACTACCTTAATGCCCACTGTGCCGGCCCATCAAGTACAGAATGTTTCATTCACATCAAGTGTGGAAGTTTGGTAAATAAAAGTATAATTGAGCTTCATGTTCTGAAAGGACTGAATCCATAATAGGCACAACCTAATTCCTAGATCCATAACAGGAACAACACAGACACTAAAAAGTTGGTTTTCCTGGCCACTTTGTATCAGCTGGCACGAACAATATCACAGCTATACCGACAGCGACAACATTGCTGCAATACAAGAGAAATGTTTAATATGAGGAAAACAACTGAGTTAAAAACGTCAGTGCTTTGAAATGTATTATAAAGTTAATAAGGTGCACTGCCATCATTAAATATGCACATATTTATACAAATTAGCACATGATCCTGTATCACAAGGATACAGTTACCTTGAAATTCAAACCAGGAACAGATTATCATATTAAAAGATAAGAACAAAGTGTTTAGGTACAGAAATCACGTAAGTCAATTACAACTGATGTCAAAGCTAAGCAGTAACTGTGCTTCTACAAACCCCTTCAGCTTTCCACTACCCTACCCTTCACAAAATAAGAAATAGCGTGAAGATACAGAGCAAACAGTTGTAGGGAAAGCACTAAAGAGTAACAGCATGAAAAACATAGAAACATGCTACCATTTATCCCCCCCTTTCAGCTTTTTCCAAAGCATGACATTATAATTCTACGGGCAAACTACTGGATCAAACCCAAAGTTTTGCTTTTTTCCTCTCTAACTAGAATATTCTCATGTCGGTGTTATGAGATGTTCCTGTGCCTCATCATTACAGCTGTTAGGCTACTTACAGATTTATAAGCTAACTAAAGCCTTCATCAACTGCTGGGAAAAGAGAGTACCACAAAAATAACTTCCAAGAAAGGTATCTCAGTTGAATTTAATTTCTTTCCACCAGCAATTTCCTTCACCTTGTCAATATAAAGATTCCATTCTGATTGAACAATTAGTACCCTGAAGGGCTCCTGCATGTCATTTTCTTACCTTTGCCCATTTCATATCATCTAAGACCAGAGATGATGGATTTATATTATCATTCGAGACAGCTACCAGGGAAATAATATATAGAGACAGGAAAGAGAATAATTTTTACACATATATTTAGTTAATTTAAAACAGAAATATGAATTAGGTTCTAAAATATATATAAGAATTAAAAGGAAAGCATGACAGGAATAACATAATAAAAACCATGGCATGTAAACAGGATTAACCATGCTAGGCAGGCTGGCTGTTCTTGCAAGAAGTTTTCTTTCAGGTTGTTACTGCTTCAAAAGCGAATTTCAGACTGTCTTCAGAGAAAGTAGGAACTTGTAGCACCAGGGACAGTGAAAGAGCCCCCTAAGGAGCACACCTGTGTGATAGTTCTGTGCACATTCAAATACTCTTTTGTAAGTAAAAGGCTTTCACTGCACTTCATTAGCACTGCAATAACACGAAAATTAAAGGCAATTTTCTCTCCCTATCTCTCCACATTAGAGGTTGCTAGCACAAGCATATATACAAGCAACAATGCCCCCAATCTCCTCTGAGGGATTTTAAGAGCAGCAGTAGGTCTTTATCCTCAGAGCAAAATAAAGATGAATTGGAATGATAAAATAGAATAGCTCTCCGCTGCAAGGGCCTGCGTAAGATGAACTAAACTGGAAAGGTCAATCTCACACACTTGCTTTCAATTCAATTCCACAATCCTAACTATCTACTTTCCCTTTAGAGGGAGCATCGTAATAAATAATCTGTTCCACAGCTTATCTAGCAGATGGCACAGCACTTGCTCAGCTGACTCTGCTCTATCCCTACATTCTAGGGCACCAGGCATCTCTTCCCCTCTTTGTACTATCTCAGGGATTTCCAGTTCACTTTTAATTTAAAATATATATAGATAGATAGAACTGAAAGCACCAGGCATGATCAACATACAATTCCCATTCTGTACTCTCCTTTTCCCCTGCTCTCTGTCTGGGCCTAAGTTCTAGTGTTTTACTGGTGTCCACACTCCTTACGAACTCCAAAAAGTCTCAAAACTCTCAAAAGGTATAACATCAGAGGCCACATATCAGCACAATCAGATGTGGAACAGCAAACTACAGCCTGCTCTTGCTTTGACTGAGGACACTGAACCCTGATCTGCCCCCACTGGAACAGGCCAAAGCAAACCACAAGACAGTTAGGATGGCATGGAAGGAGCAGAAGAGATGCCACCCAATTTGCAGCTCATCTTAGAAAACTTAACAGGAAAAATAATCCAAACAAACAAACTATGGAAGGTTCTCCAGTTCAATTTCTGCAGAGGTTTGCAAAAAATCAGGACACCACCACAGGGTCCTGGCAAAAACACTACTTGAGATTTCTGGACTGAAAGCAGATCCGTAAAATATGATCAAACTTGCATAATTACCACAGAATCAGAGGTCCCATAAATAAAAACCAAGAATTTAATTTATAATTTAGTTGTAGCTCCAGGCTACAATTAAACCTAAGTAATCCTAACAGGAAAGGTTGAGCATGGCATGGACCCAGTTTCTACCCCACCACTGAGTGCCCTTTTCAAGGAGTAAGTGGATTTCAGAAAACATCCTGCAGAAATAGGATATTTTTATGAAGGGAAGTTCTCCCAGGTTCATGGTTATTTAGCCTATTTAATACCTACTGCAACTGACTTGGAAGGAAGTAAGGATTTCTGCCATATATATAGTAAAACCTTCAATTTTTCTGCTGCCCCAGCACAAAAAGGAATTACTTTCCTCCCATACTAACACAGCTCCCTAGGATTTCCAAGAAGAGCACTAAGCAGTCTCACTTCTGAAAAAATTCACTAAGAAAAATTCCACTCTAAAGGTACCTTAAGGAGACCTTACCTAATGGAAAATACAGGTTAACAAGAAACAAAACTTCTCTACCTGGAAAAAAAATAACAAAACAAAACAAAACCACACACACACAAAAAAAAAAAACACAAACAAAAATTTAGATCTTTACTTCAAAGAGGAGTTCAGAAATGCTAGGCTAAAAGATATCAAACTTTCACTACAAGCGCTTTAGGATAACAAAATTAATTTGAGATCTTGAATGTACAAAAAGGGTTGACACGCCTGGAAAGAAAAGATCACAAGCTGATCGTTATCTCTGTCTCATTGTCCTCTTCACAACCATTAGAGCACATCATGCTGGTTTACAATAGGGATATTAACAGGAATATCTGACATGACAATCATGTCTGCAGTATCATTAGTGTGGAGCCATTAAAGTGTCACGGGTTACATCTGCATTCCCATTGTACGTGCTAACTATTTTACACTAAGTGTCTGCAGCTTCTTATTTTAGAAAAGCCAAGCACGGAAGTTAAATGGAGGTCACATTTCAAATTGCTTTAGCACAGTCCCCTAAAAACAGTATTTGGCACCAAACAGCTGTTTAACCTTGTTATTTTAACTGAGCTATAGAGAGGAATTACCTGCCTGAAGAGAATTTAGTTCTAACTCCAGAGGTAATTTTTACATATATAGAAATACCATCCTGTGATATAGGACAGAGATGGAACAACCTTTTGCTTGAACATACAGGTACTGCATCACCACTGTATCCTAATCTGCCCAGCTGCCTTTTCTGTGGAGAAGAGAGAAAGTCAATACCAAGAGACAAGTTCAGCAGGGTCAGGAAATCCTTATTTTTTAATAAAACTTAAGAACCATTTCATTTTAGTTCTATAAGCACTGCTAAGATAAACTTACTGAATAGTTGCCATATATATGCACTGCACATTTACGTCTTGCCCATATTTATGTAGCCTTTTGTGCTGTCATGGTCAGGCTTTAAGCCTCAATCAAATTTAAAAAAAATAATAAAATATTGAACCCACATCAATAACAAGTAATCAAGTCAAACCTACTCTTTTAGCGTCTGTTACAGCTTTTTCAAGCTTATGCTTTTAAAGAAGGTCCCACATCACCACTGAAGCAGAAAGTTTAT